CACACACACACACACACACACACACACACACACACACACACACACGCACACACACACACACACACACACACACGCGCGCGCGCGCGCGCGCGCATGCACACTCATGAGTCCATGCACAATCATGAGCACATCGTTGAGGGCCAGGTGCTTCAGGTGGTAAAACCCCTGGTGCCACATGACGGTTCCAGGTCCTGGGCCCGTGTTGTGAGGCTGTGATTCTGTGTTGCCATGCAGCATCTCCGGACGTGCTCAGAGGGCGTGTCACGGGGGCGAAACCACCATGGCCTGTAACTTTCTGAGCAGGATGGTCAATTGGCAAGCCGCGGTGCTGTACGTAGTCGAGATCTCTGTGGTGATGCATAGGTCTTGTACGTATTTTAAAGGTGTTATAAAAGGCCTGTGTTTTATAACTTTGCTTCCCCTTTGGAAGTTGGGTGGAGTGAGAAGCATGTTTGCTTCTTTTCGGTTTAGAAAGATTCTTATGCTGGGCTACTGTTGAGAAGAGAAGTTTGTTCGAGTTGTTGAGAGGAGTAGTTCCTCTTGCAGGAGGAGTACTGGTGGTTGGTGAGATGCATTTCTATTTATCTGTTTATTTACTTTTCACAAAGATCCAGGGCGTAGTAGAGGGTAGCGGCCAGGCCTCAGGAGGTGCCCATAGTACTCATCCATTGGTGGTTACCTCAGGAAGAACCCCCCCCCCCCCCCCCCCTTCCTCTGGGTCAGATGGATTGCAAGGGACTCACGGGCGGGGAGGCGGAGGGGGGTTGTCACCTCAGGATGGCACCACCTCACCCATCTCACCTAGGTGTTAGCATAGGTGAGAATCCGTGAGATGCATTTTGATAAAAGGATTTTTTTTTTTTTCCTCTTTTTCTTTTCTCTTTTTTTTGGTCATGCTAATCTTCTCTGTATCGTTCTCCAATTTTAACGGATGTCCCAAAGGACATAAAATGCTTTTCAACTCTTGTGAGCCTATGAGTTTTCTGCCGAGTGTTTCTCCACCGTCTCTCCTGAACCCGGTTACACTGTCGAGCTGCACTGCATGTGCGTAAAATAGTAAACTTGTACATGTTCTGTGTGCACATTTCACTTCATGTATGGTTCTGTAGTAGAGATAAAAACTATATCTTTTTATCAACTATAACTATGTAATACTTAGTACTTCTGACAAAAGCCGGAGCGTAACAGAGGCATCTGAACATCTCCGCACACAACGTTGGGATGACTACCGACTTCCCCCAAATAGAACGTGCGGTCATTATAGCTGTATGTGGAGCGATTTCAGTCCAGACTCCAGATACAGCAATGATGACCATACGTTATACTTGACCAAAGACGGTTGGCCAATAGATGGCTATAACTTTTTAAGTGCCAAACATGCTGATGACGTCATCAAAGTAGCAGGCTGAGCCTTTCATGAGCACAGAATCGTAAAAAAAAAAAAAAAAAAAGAACTCGTCATCGTCGACAACATGTTCTGCGCAGATCAATCAGCGTCGACAACATGCTGATGACGTCATCAAAGTAGCAGGCTGAGCCTTTCATTATTGAGTTATATAAACAGAATTTGTCTGATCAGCACATCAATCACACTTTCACATGTATCTTTAATTTATTAATAAATGACTTTCGGGTCGTTTCGGCTTCATCAAATACCATAATAATGGCGAGGATTGCCATCAACAACGTAGGCTGCTCATTGCTAAATCTATTGTCACAAAACAAAAGAAGTTTAAAGAACCAGCAGGACTTTTTGTTTTTTTTGTTTGTTTGTTTTTGACCAGCAGGAATTCGGTGTGTTACAGAAAGTGCTTCAGAAACCAGATGACTTACTTTCGCATAACTTCTTTGGGAGTCCAGCGCCACAGACGATGCAACCTCGACTTGCAATGAGGTTGCAGTTGACTCCTGGTGTCCTTTCTCTCTCACAGTACGATCTACATCCATCGTCATCTGTTTCACAACAAACGCAAGCAGCACTGGATCAGCCCACAATTGGGAACCACAAGGTGAAGCACCACAGAGGTCTCCATTCCATCCACCATCTGTCAAACGACCGCGCTGGTCACTGCCGACGACACACCACATGCAAAACTGCCAACGTCAAATTAGAAACCAAAAGCCACAAGTGAAAATGTGTATGTATGTATGCTCACCTTGAAGCAGTGGGGAACAAAATATGTGATCAGGGAGAGCGTTTCCCCCCCAATAGAGCGAATGGTCATTATTGCTGCATCTAGACCAAAAGTTGCCCCAAATAGAGGCATCATAATCACCGTTCATTCTATATATTCCGGGGAAGACTGTAGTTGAGCAGCCCAAGTAGTTTAGCCTACCTGAAGTCAGCATAGCCAAAGCACCTACGATTCATTGTACAGCCAAGCATTTTACCACGGCTGCTAGCGTTTTACCGCGGCTGCTAGCATTTTACCGCGGCTGCTAGCGTTTTACTGCAGCTGCTAGCGTCTTACCACGGCTGCTAGCATTTTACCGCGGCTGCTAGCATTTTACCGCGGCTGTTAGCGTCTTACTGCGGCTGCTAGCGTCTTACCATGGCTGCTAGCATTTTACCCACTGCTGCCTCCAATAGGAGTCTGGACCGTGTCCCAGTCCCAGTCCCAGTCCCAGTGTCGTTGATCATCCGGAAAGACCAGCTAAGCATTATAACAAAGCGGCGAGTGCCGGTGGCCTTGAAATTTTTGCAGGCCACGACGACACTTGCCCGGAGGGAGAATGTCAGAGGGGTGGTGATTTGTTTGTGCTAATTTTTCCCTTCGCCCTGGAAGGCCTGTATTGCCACCCCACTCTGTCGCTCTGAAAGGAGGGGGGGGGGAAGGGGGGGGGGGGGGGCMYWGAACYCTKGGCCTCCCYCCACTMCCCCCCAAATGCAMAAAGGAGAAGAAATCYCCCACGGGAAAAKGGAGAAGACACACCGCCATATTTTTCGTCTTTTGTGCATATGGAGAGTAGAGGAGCGAGGCCCTCTGCCTCTACTGACATGACTTAATGTGTGCAATGCATGCATGTGGCATTTTGCCTTGTGCAGACTTGGTCCTGCTGTGCTGACGCAGCAAGTCCAAGACGATAATCCAAGTGTGTAACTGTTCTGCATGGAATTGATTTGATTGCTCCTCCAGCCTCCTGAAAAGAAGGATGTCGTCTAGATTCATGCTACAACAAACTTGTCCAATTACCTTGTACGGAAAGCGCACTTCTCTGCATGTGTATCTTCTAGTCGGGACCTCCTGGCATTCGTGGGTAGCGAAATACAAGTGATGACCAAACCGATAATCCAATATAGGGCCTGGCTCCACTACAGTGACTCACAAAATGTGCACAATGATCATGAATCTGCCCCTAGAGCATGGAAACATCCACCGCCATATTTTTTGTCTTTTTGTGAATGTGGACCATTATGTGGTGAGTAGTTGAGCGACGCCCACAGACTGCAGCAGCTGTGGAGCGGGAAGAATACCGGAATAGCAAACTGGAAGAGAAGATTAGTGAAGGCAAACATGATAAAATAAAATCTCTCAGTTTCAAAAACGTTTTTCGCTCTGCCCATTCGACATTCACAAGGGCGCCGGACGGTCTTGACACATCATCAGCGAACCGACCGGCCCCAGGTAATTCAGATCATTCTGCTCTCATCTGATTACCTCCGGGGTCCGAACTTAGGTCTGGGTCTGGGTCTGGGTCTGTATTTCAATTTCAACAGTACACGGGTGGAACCACTGAGCTAGCCCCGTGGGTACATTCACTAAAGCTGTCCATCATTAACAATTATAGGGGATTTTTCGATTGACGTCTTTAAATTACCCGAACAGAACGGAAGGCCGGGTCCCGTTTCATTATCGATATCTCCGTCTCCAGACCAAAATCCCGACTTTTCGTACGCAGAGATGCAGAACAATGGTGACTCTCATCACCTATCCACAAAGACGCCCACCGGTCCTATCCTCTTTGCTAGTGGGACCTCGCGCCCCGGGCCCAGCAAGGTTTGGTACAGAACGTTTCAGACCTATTTACTTATCGTTTACTTTCTTCGGACCTATTTGCGGCCTGCTCTCTCACTCTATTCATTTAGTACTTTCTTCGGACATATTTGCCGTCTGCCCTCTCTCTCTCTGTCTCTCTCTGTCTCTCTCTCTATTCATATATATATCGTCAAACAGAGCTGCCGACGGTAAACCGTAGGCAGAGAGGGACAAGAGGGAGAAGAGGACAACAAACAAGGGGCTGTGACAAACTGTTTCGTCCAAGTTTCACCGACTCATCAGGAGGCTGAACCCTCAAACAGTCTGCAGAGTCCCGTAACTGATTACACTGTAAGTGATAATCCACCTTAACCCCCGGTTGTGGTTAAGCATCAGCCACTGCCCTACAACTGATACCCCTCTGAGGTGGTGGGGACCACCAACCACTGCCCTCAAGGTACCTGCGCCGAAAATCAAAGCAGACTATCACTCACCCACACCAGATGGAAAACTCTACAGACTGTCGGTCGGTTCACACCCCATCACAAGCCAGCAAAACACCCACGAAACAAACAAAGGAAGGTCTGTCACCGCAAAACATTACACTCCAGACACGCCACTGGCACTAGAGGCACAGCATGGCCGCGTAGTAACGGCCCCGACCACTGCCGCTCGACCTGACCGGAGAAAACCGTAGCACCGTGCTAGCGCAGTCGTGGTATATATACTTTCAAACAGAGCTTCTGCCGACGGTAAACCGTAGTAGGCAGAGAGGGAGGGGAGGGAGAAGAGGACAACAAATGAGGGGCTGTGACAAACTGTTTCGTTGAAGTTTCACCGACTCATCAGGAGTCTGATATATTTCAAAAATTAGACCTTTGTCATTGAACCTCGCTCCGAGAGAGAGGAGGGGGGGGGGGGGGGGAAGGTGGGGGAAGGGAGGGAGGAGAACTGACGTCTGTTCTCTCTTTTATATAGCGCCTCGGCACATAGGACATAATTTGGACGGAGACTGAGGGCATACTCACACTCGCACTTTTTTACTTATTTCTGGACGCAATTGCCGCCAGATGCATGTACGTCCGGACGTAAATGCGGTCAGGTGCATTTACGATAGCGGTAGTGTGAATACGCCCTGATAAGCCACACTGGCTAATGCTGCCAGGATAACTCCGGGTGGAATTGTGAGGTCCCGGGACCTTGAGGTCCTGGGACCTTGTCCCACCTGGACCGTTGAGTTGAGCCAACTCAACTCACGGATGTGACAGAGCATTAAATTAAATGCCTTTATAAAATCAAAAAATAAATCCATAGTGTATTTTTTTAATGCCTCGTATTGTTTTTACTCGGCACTTTCATCTATTTTATAATGCAAAGTTCTTTTTGGCATTTTCATCTATTTTATACTACGAAGTTCTTTGGGATTGTACCAACGTATTCATGACGTCCACCATGGCATCGCCAAAGGAGGAAGGTTCGTGGATTCCCGACAGATGGTGTCGGGGTGTCGGGGTTAACCGTTGTGCCCACGGTGCCCACTGGTCCCCAAAATCTGTGAATCCATGAACCTAGGCAGAAGCAATGTCCAGGCGCGAGTGCCCACTGGTCGCCAAAATCTGTGAAGTTGGCTGACAGAATGAGCCTTCTTTGGAAGGATGCACTGACATCCATGAACCTAGGCAGAAGCAATGTCCAGGTGCAAGTGCCCTCTCGTCCCCAAAATCTGTGAAGTTGGCTGACAGAATGAGCCTTCTTTGGAAGGATGCACTGACATCCATGAACCTAGGCAGCAGCAATGTCCAGGTGCGAGTGACCTCTCGTCCCCAAAATCTGTGCAAGTTGGCTGATGGAATGAGCCTTCTTTGGAAGGATGCACTGACGACATCCATGAACCTAAGCAGAAGCAATGTCCAGGTTCGCGCCTTGTTTCACCAGCAGAGATAAGTGTGTGTAACAGATGCCACTACGCATGGCCGTGTTCCCCCACCAATAACGGAAGACAGAAACGGACAGAAACGGTCAATAACGGAAGACAGAAACGGTCTGGCAATGACAATCATGAGGACCCCGGATAAAGAAAACGATTGAAACAACAAAAAATCTATATCGCAGCATTGAGCTAGCTGAGACCTTTTTTTCGTCTCAGCTACCTCAACGCAAACGGTGAAGGGTAGGAGGCGGCGTTATAATCGAGAGAACCGTATTTTCTTTCCTATTCTCGAAACGGAAATACCATTACAGGCCTATTCAGACGGAATAGCAAACCATAAACAAAAATCAACCGTGCTATTCTCATAACAGGTCGCATTCGCATCTCCAGAGTGAATCTTCCACTCGAACACACATCTCCAGAGTGAATCTTCCACTCGAACACACGGCCATGATTTCTGTCCTTTGTGCATGTCGAGCGTAGTGGAGCCAGAGGCACGGCCTCGCTGCACACTACTCTCCACATGCACCAAAGACCCAAAAGATGGACCCAAAAGAAGGTAACGTATCTTTCCTGTTCTAGCGGTGTATTCAGTCTCATTTTGCACATTTCCAGAGTAGTCGCTCAGTATTTTATCGAGGCCCTATATGCCCTAAGGAAATCAATGGCCCTACACATGGGCCCTCGCTCCACTACAGTACCTGTGGAACTGTGCAAAACGAGAGTAGAGCGAGGGCCCTCGCTCCACTACAGTACCTGTGGAACTGTGCAAAATTTTCAGGCATTTGGTTCACTGACAGGTTTTTTGAGGCATTTGGTTGGAATCCCCCCTGGTCGCACGGGTGGACCTCGAGCAGAAAGGACGAAGTCGTGACCCTGACACTTAGCACTCAGGGCAAGGGCGCCCCATCGCATGGGGGAGGACCAACCAACAAGATGGAATTTTTTTAGTTTTTTTTACGCCAGTATAACCCGTGGGCCTTGGGGCCTCTACATGCACTACTCTCGACTTGCACAAAAGACAAAAATCATGGCGTTGTATCTTTCCATATTCTAGTGGAAGATTCACTCTCGTTTTGCATAAATGTTCGCACTTTCAGTTGATTGCCGGGCTGTCTTCTTCCTCTACTATTCTCTTCAATTCGCGAACACAGAAAATAAAAACAAAAAAAACGAAAGGTAATTTGAGACCACCTCCGGAGGCGGTCTCAAAAAGGGTCCGCCGGCGGCCCCGCAGGCCGCTGACAAAAAGGTCACCTTTTGAGCCATTTGGGTAGCCAGCCTCTCCAGTGTGACCCGAAAAATGACTCAAATTTTGGGATTTTGGGTCTTTTGGTCCCCGTGTGAGTATGCCCTCAGGGCATAGGGCGTCCCCACACCACTCTCCAAATGTGAAAAAGACAAAAACGTGGCAGGTGCATCTGGCCATGTTCTAACGGAAAGTTCATTATCATTTTCCACATTAATTTTCCGGAGTGGTGTGGCCACG